TTTAGGGTTTAGGGGCTATCTGGGGGGTTTCCCGTAATTGGAGGTATAATCTTTAACCCAAAGGGGCCCATAATTTTGAGAACAATCCATATGAGCTATAGTCCAAGCCCCTAGTATCCCCCTCATAATTCCCATAATGGGAACACTATACAGTCCCATATTTGGCTCCTTTAAGTCTTTCCATGTGGCTGACCCTAAACCCTTAATCCTAAACCCTTAACCCTTAACGCTGAAACCCTAAACCCTAACCCCTAATTAAGTCTTTCCATATGGCCTTTTGCAGGATGCGGAGGAGGAAGAATCTGACCACAGCACCGCATAGGACAGCTCGCCAGAGTCGGAACTTAAAGCCCTAAAGCCTAATCATCCTAGTGGGCCTGAGACGGTTTATCCTTTGTAGCTGATCAAAGGAGAAGAAGTATGCTTAGTGGACTCCCCCACCCAGACTCCTTAAATGGGGTGGCAAAAGGGATTCTGTAGGGGAGTAGTATAGCTGTTATGAAGGGGGCTAGCAGTTTAGACTGTAGCTCAGGTGGACCACCACGCTATAGTAGTGACTGTAAAGGATAATGGTGATTATATTGGGGTCCTCCCATATATTCCTGTTATACCACTATTACAGGGTGGGAGAGTCCACCTGACAAATGTGTTTGATTCAGGCTTCAAGGCCCTAAACCCTAAACCCTAGTCAATGGCGTCTGAGAAAAGCGGGGCATGGGATTGTTTTGGCAAATGGCACAGACGAATCCCTAAAGCGCAGCAAGAGTAAACAAACTGTTAACATGCGACTGTTATACAGAAATGTGGAGATTCTTGCATCAAGCCCCAACGGTGGGAACCAGAAAGGTGGAAGTGGTTTACATTTTTTCGCCGTTCGTGCCATACTGCCTTTCCACAAGCAGCGAGGAACGTCTCGTTCGATTAGGGTTTAGGCCCTAAACCCTGAACCCTAAACCCTAAACCATAAAACCCTAAACCTACTTTGTCAGATTAGATGTGCTGCCAATGCTGCGGCCACCATGCATGTTTCACCGAAGGTGCGGCCAAAATGCTCCGAGCAGCCAGCGCAGCGTGCTAGTTGGGGCATGAAAGTTAACGAAGCGTTTGAGAAATTACAGTCATGTCGGATATGGCTCTAAACTTCTAGTATTATGGCCCATCTGGAGTCCGGAAGGCCTGTACTGCAGAATCGTCAGGAAGTGCAAGTTGTGAAAGATACAGGGCTTTGGAGCACGTTATCTGGTCTTGAGCTTGTGTGTCTGATGGTTTTGTGTTGGCTTTTCTGAGAAAACGGCTTACGTAGGAATATGTTCTGCTTCTGAGTTAATAGCAGTGAGTGGGCTGTATGACCAGATGCTTGGGAATTGTTTCCAACCTAGATGTCTTGTTCACACGCAACACCAGTAGGAGCCCTACAAACTTGGACCGATGGTTGAGTGAAAATGTGGCCCCCAAAATTGGGCTTCCAAAATTGGAGAAGATTGTCGTTTAGGGTCACTATAGGGACCTGCTATGTATGGAAGGACAGTAGAATACACCCTTGAAGTTTGGACTGAGGATTGCTCACCTTATGATTCTCAGCCCGTCATGCGTACGCCATGGCATACAGCACAGTCACTGTCGGAGTGAGGGGATTGAATTCTTCACGTTGGGAAAGCGCTACTTTGCACAACCCAGCGGCCCATTCCAGAGACCCCATTCCGCTATAATCCTCCCTAAACCCTAGACCCTTAACGTGGGCCCCTATGCGACCTAGACCCTAAACCCTATACATCCTGGGTCTGAGTCCCTCCTCCCCTTGCAGGCCCCTTGGAGGCCCTCGTGGCCCTCTAGAGGCTCCCTGCGTGTTTCCCAAAATTAGGGGTACTATTGGGGTCCCAATAATAAGGACTATAGTATATATATTGAGGTCTATATTGGGGTCCCCCTATTATGGGAAACTACCATATGCTTACTTGAGAAGTGGGGTGGCGCCATCGGCGNNGGATATTCAGCCCTGCGCAGGTAGATGCTCTAAACCCTACACCCTACTGAATCTGGATGAGTGGGTGTGCAGCATCACCGCCAAGTGCTGCACATCCTTTCCGGCCAGCATTTGCCGCACAACCAACAATAACTGGATTGCTGTTAAGGAACCTAAATCAGGTTACCATGATGGGTATACATAGTCTAATATAGCTTCCCCAATATCTTAACTTGAATTAGGTTCCTCAACAGCAACCCAGATAACCTGCATGAGGGTGGCGAGGGGTGTCAAGGAACCATGCTGAAAGGGCTTTGCCTCTGACTGCGCGCATATGTACAGCCTAGGCAACGCCACGTGAGCCAGGGCAGACGTTGCATTCGGATTGGCACAGCGAGAAATGCGGGGTTTCCCAAAATCAGAGGTCCCTTTTGGGGGTCCGAAGAATAAGGATTATCGTATTTCGGGGTCTATATTGCGGTCTTCCTATTAAGGAAACCGATGAAATAGATGATTTGGCAGCAGCACACCTCGGACAATCGCAGGGCATGGGGCATCTCGTGCTGGGCAGCTGAATCATGTGTCGTCGGGCAGCCGTATCAGAGCTCACGTAGCCTACGTCGCATAAGCTATAGGCTAGTGTTGGCACAATGTTGCCCGTGGTTGTTATGCTCTTGTTTTTCATGGCAAAGGCTGCCATCAGGCGCTGCGAAGGGTGGAGTATTGATCACTGCAATGACCCGGCACCGGTCTGTAAACAGACCAGCTACATCGAGCCTTGTTCTTGCTCCGGTGGCTACAGTGCTCGGGTGTTGCATCCGTTGAGAAGCGCCGTGGGTGGTTCTACTCGTTTTGTGGCATTCATCTGCTGTCCAAACAAAAACGGATGGGTCTGGGTCTCTGATTGCGGCCAAGAATATGGAGCAATCCGCTTAGCTGTTTGGGCTCTGCTTGTCACATCCCTCGTGGGTATTTTGCTAACCACTACTATCACTAGGTGTTCACGGCCTCTGGTGCTCAAAAAGACAGAGGATGACGTGAAGCTTGAAACCTCGCCGGTGGTCCTCGACGGCCAACTGCTCCATGAGACCGTAAGCATGAGCAATTGGTGCGTAAGCTTGGATGACCTGAAACAATTCAAACGACTCGTGATGCATGCTGTCAAGGATGGCCGCATCAAGCCAACCGAGAAGGACGACTTTGATCCTTCAGATTTGAGAATTGGGCCAGCCGGGAACGTGAGTTGGGCTTTGATGAAGCATCCCGATGGCTTGAAGTGCGATGTGTTTATCACGCATGGCTGGGGCAGCAGGCGTCTATGAGTTCGTGAACAAGGCCATCTACTCCTGGCCATCAGATGCAAAGGGTGCATATGTTTGCTTCTTATCCAACCCGCAGAACTTGGATATCTCACACTTAATTGGACGACCTGAGATTTCGCCTTTTGCGCAAGCTTTGAAGTCGGCATCCCACATGCTCGTTGTGTTAAACAACAGGTGTAGCATTTACTCTCGGCTATGGTGTGTCTACGAGGCTTTTTTAGCTTACAAATGGGACAAGCCAATTACTGCGGCAAAATCCGTGCATCCAACGGCCGTGGCACAGAATTGCTGCATAATTTGCATCTATGTGGCATGCTCATCCGCTGGGCTGTTGCTTCCCCTGGAGTTGCTTGGTGACTTGCAAATTCCATCTCAGATTGCGTTTGCCATGTTTTTCCTCCTCTCATTGGGCCTGCTGGGATCACGTGTCCGTCGACTCTCAGCAATTCATGCAGCTGTAGTTGCTTGTGCAGCGATATTTGCAGGTCTGAACTTCGCTGTAGGGATTTCTTACGGGGCCTTTGGATTCTATGCGGTGCAAGACTTCTTACTTGGCTTGGGCCTCGTGGCTGCGCTGGAAGTGGATCGGCAGAATTCTCTACAGGCATCCAAACGGACCGAGGAGCTTCGTCATGGCTTCACAAGCTGTCGTAATGCGCAATGCTCTGCTGAGAGCGATGCGGGCTTAATTTGGAGCGAGATCCATAGCAGTGGGCTGGAGGAAGAGATCGAGTATACTGTGGGAGTCTTGCGCTCCATGAACGTCTCCACGCGCGAGCTGCGTACAACCATGGAGAGCACGGGCCCCTTGGGTGATGCTTCTCACTGGAATCGAACCATGGTTGTGTCCAGCTTCCTTGCCTTCTGGGGATTTTCGTATATTAGGCTGCTCGCCTACGGCCACGAACTACCAGAGTTGGATGACTCCAACTACTGGCTGGTGGTGCTGTTGATTCTGGGTTGCCGTTAAGAAACTTAAATTAAGCTACCATAATGGGTATGTATATATATATATATAGTAGATAATAGGGTTTCCCGATAAAGCGCCTTGAATTACCCTATATTCCCTCAGTTTCCATTTCATGTTCCATGTTCTTTGCCATTTGGATCTCCATTATAGGGGCATGATACACCTTAAACCCTGAATCATGAATCCTGAACCCTAACGCCTAAATCCTAGTTAAACCCTAAACCCTAAACCTTAGCAGCAACCCAGGAGTTCGGAGACTTTGGGTTCCGTGCCGTGGGGGCTCTTGAGCTCACCTCCATGCAGAACAGAGGAGAATCTGGCGGTCGTGCAGGAGAGCCAGGTGGGTAGTTCCCAAACTTAAGGACCTTGGGGTTGTATAGGGGATTATATAGGGGATATCTAGGGCTGAGGGTTTTGGGTAGTGCCCAAAATAAATGTTCCATTGATACCCCTAAATATCAGGTGCTGTTACATAATTTATAGCCAGAAGGAAGCCAATTTTTTGAGAGCAACCTAGGTCTGTGGTGCGGAAGCCCCGTGTCGATCAGTCCGTGACGCTGAGACGCAGATCCCAAGTCCAGCATGTGAGTTGGCAATCTCAGCGCTCCACGCCCCTACCCCCGGCCCCTGGGTTGCTGTTAAGAAACTTAACTAAAGCTGTATTATCCCCCTAGAATGGAGAATCAAACGGGAAAGAACATGGCATCTAGGGAATTTAGTCTGAGTAACTATAGTGGGGAAACCCCCTGTGAATTACAATATAAGCCCATTATGGCAACTTAATTTAAGTTCCTTAACGGCAACCCAGGTCTTGAGAAGCCAGAGCCAGCAAGGGAGGATGCCCCTGACACGGGCACTGACACGGGCACTAACTTGGCCGTAGCGGCCGTGGCGCTTCTAGAGCTAGTGAGCTCATCGAAACAGGCACAGCAGATCTTCGCACAAGATTCTGGCCAAGATGAGGGTGAAACTGGGTTGCTATTAAGGAACTTAATTTAAGCTACTATATTGGGGAAAGCATGTTAGTTATTATATACCCATCATAGTAACTTCATTTAAGTTCCTTAACCCTAAACCCCATATACTCTACATACGCTATATACCTTACATACCCATTATCGTAACTTAGTTTAAGTTCCTTGACAGCAACCCAGGAAAGCGGTGCAGCAGGGTCTACACTACATGTGCCCATGGATGAAGCCATCTTTCGGGCGTCAGATCAGACACTTACCCGTCCAGCGAGTTCCCTTTTAGGGCTTAGGGTTGAGGGTTTATGGTTTAGGGTCTAGGGTTTAGGGACTTTGGAGGTAACTTAACACCCCATAAGTACTGTATAGTCTAAACTTTTTAAGAGGGGGTTATGTAGGGTACTATTATAGGGGTTATTAAGTGGGATACTAGGAGTTTAGACTATAGCTCATAGCTGCTGTTCTCAAAATGATAGGCCCCCTTTGTGGTTCTAAACTCTAATATTTGAGGGCACCCAAATGGGAACCTAATATTGGGAGCTACCCATATTATAAACATAAGCTTACATGTGGCCTTGGGGAAGCCCTTGAGCAACTAAGGACACAACCCCAAACTTTAAATCCTGAACCCTATACTTAAGATTGAACCCCCCCACCCAGTAATAGCCCCGCCCAGAAACAGTGACTATAGGGATAATAAGGAGTATATTCGGGTCCTCTTATATTCCTATTATACCACTACTACAGGGTGGGGGTCCTCCTAACCAACACTGCACATCTAGGCCCAAAACCCTAAACCCTGAACCCTAAACCCTAAACCCCTAAACCAGAAACCCTAGGACACAGGAGGGCCAAGGCGCTTGCCTTGAAGATGCCAAGAGTGGGACCATAGCAGCGAAGACAGCGAAGGAGGAGCAAATGAACAAACCCCAAGCCCTAAACTGGGTTGCTGTTCAGGAACTTAATTTAAGTTACTACATTGGGGAAACCCTATTTATTACTATATATACCAATTATGATCAATTATGGTAACTTAATTTAAGTTCCTTAACAACAACCCAGAAAACCCTAAAGGTGTAGGGTTTTTGGGATTTAGGGTTTAGGGCTTTAGAGATTTGGGGGTTAGGACTTTAGGAATTTAGGGTTTAGGGTTTGAGGGTTTCGTTCAAGCCCAGGTTGAAAAAGGGTATTAGGGTTCAGAGTTTTAGTTTTTAGGGTTTAGGGTGTCAAATCAATGACAACGCAAAATGCCACTCACCTCCCCACTGACAAATAATCAACATACAGTACCATTCCACAATAGGGGGATGTTTCTCATCTTGGGGGCCCTACAAGCCGCAACCCTATAAACCCATGAAACCCCAAACCCGAACCACTCAAGCCCTTCTAAAGAGAGATGGTTTAGGAGGACCCCCCACCCTGTAATAGTGGTACAATAAGAATATGAGAGGAACCCAGTAGAATCCCTATTATCCCTGATAGTCACTACTACTGGGTGGGGGGTCCACCTAAGAGATGGTATAAATGCACGCGACTTGGCGAAAAGACCGCCCAGAAATAGATTCTCAGACGATTGCCTAAAAAGATAATTCTCAGAAAAGAGAAGGGTTCAGGGTTGAGGGTTGCCTTTTGGAGCCATTTAAGCCTTTTGGCGCCAATGAGCCCCTTTGGAGCCAATCATATAAGCCGTGTGGAGTTTTGGTATTTGGAGCCTGAGCCAATGTGGGCTTTTGGGAGCCAATTTGAGATTTGTGCCGTTTGGAGCCAATTTTGGAGTTAATTTGAGAAGCCTCTGCAGCCATTTCGAACAAATTTGAGCCTTTTGGGGCTAAAAGTTTAAGGCCTTTCAGAAGCATTTGGGTTCTTTGAACCATTCTCGACTTTTGGAGTCATTTAGGCCTATTGGAGCCGTTTGGCGCCTTTTCGAACCAAGTTGAGCCTTTTGGAGCCAATTTGGGTGCCTTGCGGGACCTATCTCCCTTTTTAAATCCTTCTGGTGCAATTTTTGCTTCTCGGCCTTTTGAAGGCAATTGCCGCTTGTTGGAGGCAGCTGAATGCTTTGAAGTGTTCAAGACCAGTTTGGGCCCTTTAGAGCCAATTTGAGCTTTTTGAGCCAATTGCGCCATTTGGAGCCACTGTTTGGAGCCTTCCAAATGAAGCCATGTGGAGTCAGTAGTCAAAGGTTTAAAGCCCCTGCGAGGAGCCTCCAAAAAGCCACTGTTTTGAGTACATTTCCCAGGGCAGGAGTAAAAAGGAGAAAAACGCACAACATTCGGTCAAAACCTCGCACACGAATCCTATACAAATTCTATAAACCCTGGACCCCAAACGTTAACCCCAAACCCTGTAATCCCAGAACCCTAGACACTAAACCCTCAATCCTGAACCCTAAACACTAAACCCCTGGGAACTGCATGTGTACCTTCAAAGCTCCCGCGCGTGAGCGCTTTCAGCCTGAGCTTATCAGACCTGAGCTTATCAGACGGAAAAAGGAGTTGTAAAAAAAAAACACTAAAACATGAACCCCTAAACCCTAAACCCAACACCCTAAACCCTAGCCTGTAACCTGCTAGCAGGAGCCTCCTGCACCAAGCGATAAAGACCAAGAGGAGTGCCAGAGAGGGAGCCCGAAGGCTCACGACGCAGAGGCGGTTGAAGGGTTGAGAATTGGGGTTTAGGGGTTTAGGGTTCAGGGGTTTAGGGGTTTAGGGTTTAGGGTTTAGGGGTTTAGGGGTTTAGGGTTTGGGGTTCAGGGGTTTAGAGTTTAGGGTTTAGGGGTGGTAATCTTGTGGAATTGGGGTTCTATTAGAAAAAATCAAAATAAAACTACATTCATTCCCCCTGAATTAGGCTTGATTTGGCCGAGTTATCATTAAAGAACCTTCATTATGGGGGGAAACCGATGGGGGCGGTAGTATAGGAGGGGGGATAGTACGGGAACCCATGACTATTACGTACTTGCTTCTGCTATTCCACTATCGTGACTATTGCGGCCACGATTCTTAGTCGTATTGTTTCATTATGACTTATGACGTTGATTCGTATTTCTTCATTGTTATGAGTACTATACTATTACTATCACAAGTATGACTAGACCGTTATTCTATCATTATTACTAAGCTGTTACTATTACTCTACCATTAGTATTCCCTAAGCACCAAACCTTCAACTCTGGAACATGATGTAGGTCTCGGTGGATGCTGGGCATCGCCCAACGCAGCCCGGGTCTGGCAGCCAAGACCAAGTCATTGACCCTGGGCCAGTAGGATTCAGGGCTTAGGGCATAGGATTTAGGGCATAGGATTTAGGATGTGGGGCTTAGGGCTTGAGGGAACTCAGTTTCCATTTAGTTTTCCATGTTTGGTTCCATTTGTTTCTCGGTTGTTGGTTATTATTTAGACCCCACTCCTAGTGTTCTGACCCCTTCTATTTCTTGCAGAAGTGTTCAGGTAAGGTAGCCCCCTCTCCCTGATATTTAGCCCGGCCACGTCTTAATGTCAAATGTTCCGAAGAGATTCGAATAGATCTTGGTATATTTTGCAAGGAATTATCATCCATTTTTAGTAGATAGAAAAATGGAATCCCAAATCATAATACCATCCACACGTACCCCATATTCTATCCACTTAAGGGGGACTGTATCTTGACATCTTATAAAGGAATTACTGTTAGCGGTCTCAGCATTTTGGGAGGGGATTGCTGCTGTTAATGCCTTCAGCAAATGACGAATCTCAAGAAGTTTTGGGTTTAAGGTCTAGGGTTGTTCCAGGCAAAGATACCCTAAAGCCTAGACCCCAAGCCTGTTGCAAAAGGGTTGCGACAAGCTTCGAGATGCAATTTGCCCTTGCTGGGATATTCCTGGGAACAATTGTTGAGTATTATGGGCAACCACCCCAAACCCCTAAACCGGGCGATCATGTCTGCATGGTCACTGTAAAGCCCTTGGAAGGTAATTTTTAAAGGGCCTCCAAATACTAGACCCCAAACAGTAGCCTCCCTTTTGCTATTCTTCCTATAGATCCTTCTGTTTTTATCGGGCCCCTAAAGATATCCCGGACTGCCTCTTCAAGGGCTTCATACCCCCAAAACCTTAAACCCTAAATCCGGAACCTTCAACCCAGCCATTTCTTTTGCAAGGATTTCATAGCATCCCAGTTGCTTAGCCTCGATGACACGAAACCGGGAAGGATGGCGAAAGAGAAGCTGAACCTTCCTCCGCAGTTGTTTTTTGGGAGTTTAGGGGTTTGGGTAGGGTTTTCGGGTTTAGGGTTCAGGGATTGGGGTTTGGGTTTTCGGGTTTAGGGTTCGGGGTTTAGGGCTCAGGGATTGGGGTTTGGGTTTTCGGGTTTAGGGTTAGGGGTTTTGGGCTGAGGGTTGGTTATTTGGCGAAAGAGGAAATATCAGCATATGACCCGTAATAATGAAGAATCAACTGGAAAAGAACATGGAAGTTGAAATGGAAACTGGGATTGTATTCGTAGTATAGCATTTGGGGTTTCAGAAGTAAGCGGTCCTTCTTTGGGGATTGTTCGGCAAAGGACTATAGAATATTGGGTGTTTAGGGTTTAGAGTTTGTGAAATGACTGTTTACCCCACGGGGGCAGGTCTGAACATTGATGCGTTCAGCAAGCAGAACACGCGTGACCCTAAACCCTCAAGCCCAGAATAGATAAACGTTGCATAGGGCCAAAAAGCAAAACAAACACAAAACCTGCTCAAAACCCTGCACAAAACGCAGGGCATGAACCCTATAGAATTTCTATAAACCCTAAACCCGAAATCCTAAACCCTGAGCCCCGAACCTAGCCTTGCCAAAATGCCATGCAACCTGCAAAAACAGCCAGCGTGCAAGCGTGAGGTCGATGTTTCTGCAGCTACTAGGCATGGACGCGGCTGACGTCGATGAGGCCCGATGAGCCGCAATCTACACTCCTTAAAGGGGGTTATATAGGGAACTACTATAATGGTTATTCGGGGGGATTTTAGGAGTTTAGACTATGGCTCAGATGGGTTTATCGGGTTTGGGGTTGCAGGATTCAGGGTTTAGGCTACATAGGGGTAAAATGAGGGATATAATATATCGGGAAGAATTGCAAAAGAAAACGGCAGCTACTATTTCGGGTTTATTACCGCTTTAAAATCCGTTATGAAGATTTCCCAGGACCTCCTTCTAAGCTCCAAAAACTCCTCAGAGTCCCCACGGGCCTCTCGTTTGAGAACTTTCCATATGTTGAGCAGCACCCGAAGCCCTGAACCCTAAACTCCCAAACCCTAAACCCTAAACTCCCAAACCCTAAACCCTAAACTCCCAAACCCTAAACTCCCAAACCCTAAACCCTAAACTCCCAAACCCTAAACTCCCAAACCCT